CGCTGCCTTTGGCTCAGGTCATGATCTCAGGGTCCTGGGATCGAGTCCCACATCGGGAGCCTGCTTCCCTTCCCCTCTCTCTCTGCCTGCCTCTCTGCCTACTTGTGATCTCTGTCAAATAAATAAATAAAATCTTAAAAAAAAAAAAAAAAGCAGTCCACAGTACTCATCACGTAATATTATCCCAAATCATGGAGTAAACACTGTTACTAGGCACTGAGGTTGAAATACAGAGGCAAATAAATTTAACCCCTTGCTTTCAAGCAGTTTAGGATCTAGAGAGGAAAAGATATGTAAGCTAATTATCACAACAGAAAAGGCTAAGTGATTCAAATGAATTGTGGACAGAGTCCTGAAAGCAAAAGCCATGGGCCAATGGCCTATGCGTGGAGAAGGTGGGCAAACTTCTCCTAGGAGGGAATCTTCAAGCTAAATCTTTGAGGGAGAATAGGAGTTTGTCATGTGAAGAAGGGGAGAAGAACATACCTAAGAAAGTGCAAGAGTTCAGAGTTAACAAACGGCCTAGTAATGACTGGGGAATGGTGCGTAGTTGCGTGTGTCCTGAGCAGATGAGGCTGGGGAGGTTGTAGGGAGCCCTGGATTCCAAGCTAAGAAATAAGCACTTTTCTCCTGCAGACAAAGAGGACCAAAATGAGTTCCCACGGACAGTTTGCTTTTTTTGGCGGGTTTGTTTCTTAAGGACGATTATTCCGGCAGCTATGCAGTAGATGCACTGGAGAGAACAGATCTAAAAAGTCAGGCAGTCCGTGAAACGAGGGAGAAGAAAGTTCACATTTATTGAGAGCTTCTGTAAGCCAAACACCATGGTAAGCACTCTATGCCCCTTGTAATCTTATCTAACCTACACAATAAACCTAGATACAATAATACAGGTATTTTCGTCGCAGTTTTTTTTAAACTGAGAAAGAAATCGAGACTCTGTGAGGTTAGGTGACTTGCCCAAAGCAGGTGATGAAGCCACGCTTTCGGCTATCAGAGCTGCAGGGCTCTAAATCACCATTTACTTCACTACAACAAAAGTCCACGAAATATATTAGGCCCTGAGCTTCGGAAACGACAGTGGGAATGGGGAGCAAAAAGCCGAACAATGTCACGGTCAGACATTTTCGGAGAATATGCAAAAGTAAAATATTTTAACTGTAAGCATTCCCGCATCCCTGCCACTCTATCTCCTCTCCCTTTGTGTTGAGGGGTACCGGGAAGTGGCTCCCCGCAGTTTAGGGAGTCCGTGGAGGCGACCAGGACGCTAAGTGCGACGCCTTGAGAAGGGTCGTCGCGGAGGGGTGCTGTAAGGGGCTCCCAGAGGCGGAACCAGGGGGCTGGAGCAATGTGGGGGAGCCCACGCGGGGCGCGACATTCCCCACCTGGATGAGCCCGCTGAGGACGCCGAAGAGCCAGTGTTTGCTGTAGACGGTGCTTCCTATGCAGTCTCCTCCGGCCCCCTCCTCCTCGTCCTGGTCTGGACTCGGTAGAGGCGGCGAAGGATTGCGGTCCATAATTTTGCCTCCACCGCTCAAAAAAAACGCGCCGGAAGCCGCCGGAGGAGGCGATAAGTGTTCTGGCGCCAGAGGGGCCGGCGCGCCCGGCGCGGCTCCCACCACAGCGCCCCCTACTGCCCGGAATGCTCCGTTCTGTGCGCCCGCCCACAGACTTAGGATCCCAGAAGACTTGATCTCCCCCTACCCCCTACCTAGGACCCAAGCACGGCCATACTCATATTTGTTATTTGTCACACTCCTAGGACCAGATAGTCCATCTCCTCGGGGGCTCTTAGCCTGATTGGAAGGGGCAGGGAGTCGGGGACAGTGTCTCTGGGGCAGACGTGAATTTCGAAGCTGACCCTGATCTCTGGGCCTTTGGCATCCTTGAAGACATCAGTAGGTGCTCATTCTTCTCCCAGGTGTGTTTAGAATCCTCAGAGAGATATAAGTCACCAGGAAGAACATCAATACCGTCAATATTACAACTCCTTGTATTTTCAGTTCCTGCTTCTTATTTAGTTCAGTGGTACTCAACCTCAGACCCAGTGCTCCCCCCCACTCAGCAACAAATATTATACCACACCTACTTTAGGTTGATGAAAGAGATTTAGGGACGCCTGAGTGGCTCAGTGGGTTAAGTCGCTGCCTTTGGCTCAGGGTCCTGGGATCAAGTCCCGAATCCGGCTCCTTGCTCCGCAGGAAGCCTGCTTCTCTCTCCGCCTCTGCATGCCACTCTGCCTGTTTGTGCGCTCTCTCTCTCTGACAAATAAATAAGTAAAATCTTTAAAATAGATAAATAAAGAGTTTATAGGTGATATTACCTACCTTAGCATTAATTTCAAAAATTAATATGGTTCCCTAACAAAGAAGAAATAGAATTAATTTAAAATAAAATGATATGTATTCTAATATTTTAAGCATTAAAAGACATAATAGAGGTCTCCAATGTTAGCACATATACATCAGATCACCGTGAACCTAACAGCTACAATGCAGAGTAATAGAGGTGTGATTCCATCAGGGTCTGTGCTTCTCAAAATCATAAACAGAGGATGGTAAAATTTCTCCCAAAACACAGTTCCAATTTACAAAGCAATTGCATTTCCAAGAAATGTTAAGTTATATTACAACTGGACTCTGTTAAATATGTAAAATACAGTTGGATTCCAGGCTCAAATAATTATGAACATTTTTTCATTGTAAGTGAAGAGGCAGACCCAGGTTTTATAAGGCCTGAATTATGCAATTTGGGGAGCCCCCTTTAGGAAAAACAACATGAAATTACAAATATTATATTAGCTACAATATGAAATATTTATTTAGAATGGGGATAAATTACAAATTTTAGGTAGCTGACAAGTATGTAAAACATCGCAAAACGCAGAAAAATGTACAAATATTTTTATTAATAAACAGCCTGACATACTTCAACAATCATTTTCTTTCTTTTAATAGAATTTATTTTTAAAGCGATTCTAGGTTCACAGCAATATTGAGCAGAAAGTACAGAAATTTCCCATATAACTTATACCTGCCCTCATGCGTAGCCTCCCCCATTAGTAGCATTCCCCACTAGAGTGGAATATTTGATACAATTGATGAGCCTACACTGACACATCATTATCACCCACAGTGTTCATTAGGGTTCTCTCTTACTGTACATTCTGTGGGTCTGGGCAAACTTATGACACATAACCACCATTTTTGCATCATGTGGAGAATTTCACTGCCCTAAAAATCCTCTGTTTTAATATAATCTTTTTAATATAATTTTAATTTTAATATAATTTTTTTTCTGAGTTTACTTTGATCTTCATTTTATGACAATGACCTAGTAAGATCATTTTCTATCATGAAAAATAAAAAGATAATTCTGTCTTTATTTTAGCATGGTTGTTTGATTTTTAAAAAATTATTGGTAGTTTAGGAATTTTCTTTCAACTTCACAACTTGTTATTGGTAATATTCTATAAAGTTTGAGCACTGTCAAATTTGGAAAACGTCTCTCCAGGGGAGAACTTCCATTTTGACTAGGATTCCATCAAGATAAAAATCTTCCACTTATGATCTTACAATTCTCCATTGACTCATGCTTGACTTTCAAAGTTGTTTCTTCCCAACTACCCACATACTCTGTGCTGGCCTGTACAAGACAAGTTCATTTTGCCGTATGACTGTCACTCCTGAACCCGGAGTAACCACAGAAGATGGTAAGATACATACCTAGAAACTATTCCTACTTAGGACAGTGATCAATAACTTAATCATACTTGGAAGTGACTGAAAAACCACACAAATATGTCCTACTACGTGCAAACCAATTATAACCCAAATTCAACTGCTCCTTAGTCAGGTTCCCAAAATGCCTATGCCCACCCCAGTGCCACTCAGCACAAGCAGAAAACTGATAGCAGAATCTTGGTATGAACGGAAGCATTAACTGTCTTAGTTAAAACATTTTACTTCTGCAGATTTTACAAAGATAAGGGACCATGTGAATCCTTTCCCAGGGCCTCTCCGAGGATCTTGGAATGGTCCCATGTAAGTCAGGAGTCCTTGAAACTTAAGCTTCATTCAGTTTCGCAGTAAATCTGATTCTGCCTAAATTCACATCTGATAGGACAATGCGAAAGTCAAGCAAGATTCAGGATGCCCCTTTGCAGGACTGTCTCCTAAATTAGAAGCTGTGTGTACCTCTGGTCTAACCACCAAATGCCCTGCAATCACTGTGTCAACCAAAAACAATCCCAGATGTGTCCAAAAGCTGCGATGGGGATGGATGTGGCTGCTTGTGTTGAGAACTAGAGTTTAGGTGTCGCTCTGTACATGGAACTGACAGGTATGATCCGAATATAGTCTATACAGTATGGCCCCTATCATGGACATATACCGTTACCCCAAATTAGTATTGTTCTTTATTAATGCCTTATCTCCTTTGGGAAAAAAAAAAAAGATAAAGTAAGTTGATCATGTCCCTCATATTAAAAATACCCAGGAAGATTGTCATTTGCTGTATGCAGAGGACAATGACAAATTGAATTTCACAAGCATTATTTTAAAGATTTTATTTATTTATTTATTTGTCAGAGAAAGAGAGAGAGATTACACAAGCAGGAAGAGTGGCAGGCAGAGGCAGAAAGGCAGGCAGAGAAGCAGACTCTCTGCCCAGCAAAGAGCCCCATGGGGAACTCGATCCCAGGACCCTAGGACCATGACCTGAGCCAAAAGCAGCAGCTTAACCAACTGGGCCACCCAGGCATCCGATCACAAGCATTTACTAAACTTTTTTTTAAAATTGTATTTATTTATTTGACAGTCAGAGATTACAAGTAGGCAGAGAGACAGGCAGAGAGAGAGGCAGAGAGAGAGGAAGGGAAGCTGGCTCCTGGCCAAGCAGAGAGCCCGATGCAGGGCTCTATCCCAGGACCCTGGGATCATGACCTGAGCCGAAGGCAGAGGCTTTAACCCACTGAGCCACCCAGGCGCCCCTTTACTAAACATTTTAATGTGCTCTTTAAAGTATTCAGTAGGAAGGGTATACAATTCAGGAACTCTTAACTCAGCAACTGTTCCTGCCCTCAGGGGCCTCATAGCCCGTCCCCCCAGGGCAGAGCCAAGGGGAAGCTCAGTATTTGCTAGGCAGGCCAGGGGGTCGGAAGTGGTTGGGGTCTTTGCCACTCCGGCCCCATTCGTTGGCAGCCTGGTCAGCCTTCGAGTCCTCCACTCCATGGCCGCTGTCTCCATACTTGAAAACGTCTGTGACTCTCTGAGAACGCTCTCTGGCGTCACTGGAATGGAGGAAGGCAGGTAGAGATTCATTAGGGGCTGCTGAGCAACAGGCCCCCGCCCCCACCAATCTCTTCTCTTTCTGAGGGATGGCTGAGGAGCCCAGGCCAGAGGGGCTGAAACACGGACCGTGCTCCACGCACAGCCCAGGTCAGCCCAGGCTGGTCCCCGTGCCCACAGCAGGAGGGTGGGAGTCCCCCATTCCCACTGGCCTTGCTCTGGCTCTGCCAGCCACTCAGACCCCACACTGGGCACAGAGGGGACGGTGGGCAAGAGGACCAGGAGCCGCCGTCTCTGCAGGAAGCTTCTCTAGGGTTGGCCCCTCCTGGCTCTCTAAGGCCGCCATGCTCAGCCAGGCCATCCCTGCATCCCCGGGGCCCTTGTTACCTGATGACTTTAGCGGCCCAGGCGCCCCCAGGGCCCCTTTGCGCAGCATCATAGTTCCCGCGGGCATGGAAGTATTTGTCCGAATTTTTGTAATTGGCTTCTATCATGTCAGAGTAGGCTCTGTACATGTCCCAAGCCCCTGCGAGAGAAGGACAAGGCAACAGGGATATCAGGTGGACAGAGAGCCTGTGGCAAACCATAGGGAAGAATCAAGGAACAGCCGATCTCCCACTGACTCGAGATTTCTGCTCCAAGTCTCCGCTCCCTCCCCTTCATGTGGGGAAGAGGCCTGCCTCACCAAGGGGTCCTGAAGTCAGAGTCAGAGAGCACCTGTCCCAGCTCAAGCAGAAGTGTCCCTGTTGGCCCAGAAGCCTCCCAGTTCGCACTGACGGGGTCAGGCCAAACCCTCAGCCCCAGGCAGACCTGCATAGCTGGTCACTGCCCATTGCATGAAGGTGCTGAGTGCCTAGTGCAGGCTTGATACATGGTTGTTAGTCTCCCCTCCCCTTTCTTTTTTTGTTCCCGTTGAGGGCCAGGAAAGGGGAGGAAACAGATCTCCCAGGGACAGCATCACTGACAAGAGGAAGCACCAGGGAGAGCCACGCTGGAGGTGTCTGTAAATTAGTCAATCAGGAAATGGCAGGAAGGGTGGAAGGGAGAGAGGGAGGAAGAACGGGAGGAAGGGCTGACTGAAGGGAGGGAGGGAAAGGAGAAGAAGGAGGGACAGCTTTAATCAGACACTGTGCCTTTTGTCTACAGGAAATTCGGTGCCATTTCAAGACTCATTTTGTGTCTTCTAGTCAAACTGACCCTTCAGCTGGGAATGATGATGGCTCCTTCTCTAGTAATGGATGGACACAAACCCTGTGCCTTTCGATCTGTTTCATGAAGAGCTCCCCAAACACCGGGCACATTCTACCACATAGGGCAACACACCTAACGCAGTAGCTGAACCCTTGCAAGTGCTCAGGGCAAATCCAAGTGGCCCGTGGATGCCGCCCCCGTCCAGGACCTTACCTTGAGCAGCCTCACTGATGAATGAATACCATTGGCTGCTGACCCCCAGGACCAAGGAGCAGAAGATGAGGCCCGTGAAAAGCTTCATGGTGCTGAAATGAAGGAAGGAGAGGGTCAGGGGGGCAGCAGCCAATGGTATTCATTCATCGGTGAGGCTGCTCAAGGTAAGGTCCTGGACGGGGGCGGCATCCACGGGCCACTTGGATTTGCCCTGAGCACTTGCAAGGGTTCAGCTACTGCGTTAGGTGTGTTGCCCTATGTGGTAGAATGTGCCCGGTGTTTGGGGAGCTCTTCATGAAACAGATCGAAAGGCACAGGGTTTGTGTCCATCCATTACTAGAGAAGGAGCCATCATCATTCCCAGCTGAAGGGTCAGTTTGACTAGAAGACACAAAATGAGTCTTGAAATGGCACCGAATTTCCTGTAGACAAAAGGCACAGTGTCTGATTAAAGCTGTCCCTCCTTCTTCTCCTTTCCCTCCCTCCCTTCAGTCAGCCCTTCCTCCCGTTCTTCCTCCCTCTCTCCCTTCCACCCTTCCTGCCATTTCCTGATTGACTAATTTACAGACACCTCCAGCGTGGCTCTCCCTGGTGCTTCCTCTTGTCAGTGATGCTGTCCCTGGGAGATCTGTTTCCTCCCCTTTCCTGGCCCTCAACGGGAACAAAAAAAGAAAGGGGAGGGGAGACTAACAACCATGTATCAAGCCTGCACTAGGCACTCAGCACCTTCATGCAATGGGCAGTGACCAGCTATGCAGGTCTGCCTGGGGCTGAGGGTTTGGCCTGACCCCGTCAGTGCGAACTGGGAGGCTTCTGGGCCAACAGGGACACTTCTGCTTGAGCTGGGACAGGTGCTCTCTGACTCTGACTTCAGGACCCCTTGGTGAGGAAGTCATCTTCCCCACAGGAAAGGGAGGGAGCTGAGGCTTAGAGCAGCTGAGTCCCAGGTCAGGGACTGCCATCCAGGCAGCAGGTGGCAAAGAGGCTAGAACCCAGCTGCACAGGAGGTCAGAGCTCTGGCCAGGTAGATGTGTCTGAGTGTCACTTCCCAAAGCTGGGGGGCTCTCAATCTGCAATGGTGTTGGACTCACCGGGGGAGCATCTCAGTCCCCTGATGCCTGAGATCCACCCCTGAGAGGCTCAGGAATCCGGGGGGGGGGGTGTGACCTGGCCACCAGGACGTTCAGAGGCCCCCAGTGATTAGAATTGAGCAGCCAAGGATGGCTGAGGGCCGGGGCTCTAGCGCGTGCTTCCTCAAGCTGTCCCCGTCATTTGAACGGTCTATTCAGAGATGTCAGGATGCCGTTTATGCCCTAACACTCAGAGGGACTCGGGTCACAGTCATGTGCCTTCGCTCTGCAAGAACGGATTTGCTAGGCCTCGGGGCAGAGGCGCTGTGCTCCTGGGCCTTTCTCAGAATCGGACTTCCCTGTCCCCCGGACCTCACCATCTGTGCTTCATTCTCCACCAGTGCTTCCCGGCCAAGGGCAATCTTGTGCCTGGGGACTCGTGGCAATGCCTGGAAACATTTCTGGTTGTGAGCCTCAGGGCATACATTGCCCACATCTAGCGGGAGAGGTCAGGGAGGCTGTTACGCATCCTACAGTCTCAGAACAGGCTTGAGCAACAGAGAATTATCTGGCCCCAAATCTCAGTGGTGCTGTGGTTGAGAAAGGCTGTTTGATAACACCTCCTTCCTCCTCTTGAGCAGCTCACATAATGCCCTCGGTGGATGGAGCACGGAGATAGCATAGGGACAGACACACAGGTGCAGCCTGGCTGTGTCCCGCCCCCAGCACCCTCACTAGGGATGCCTGGAGAAGTTCTCAGCCTCAGGTGCCCAAGGGTGCTTAGAGCACAGGCAGAAATCTCGAGTCGGTGGGAGATCGGCCCTTCCTTGATTCTTCCCTATGGTTTGCCACAGGCTCTCTGTCCACCTGATATCCCTGTTGCCTTGTCCTTCTCTCGCAGGGGCTTGGGACATGTACAGAGCCTACTCTGACATGAAAGAAGCCAATTACAAAAATTCGGACAAATACTTCCATGCCCGCGGGAACTATGATGCTGCACAAAGGGGTCCTGGGGGGGCCTGGGCCGCTAAAGTCATCAGGTAACAAGGGCCCGGGGGATGCAGGGATGGCCTGGCTGAGCATGGCGGCCTTAGAGAGCCAGGAGGGGCCAACCCTAGAGAAGCTTCCTGCAGAGACGGCGGCTCCTGGTCCTCTTGCCCACCGTCCCCTCTGTGCCCAGTGTGGGGTCTGAGTGGCTGGCAGAGCCAGAGCAAGGCCAGTGGGAATGGGGGACTCCCACCCTCCTGCTGTGGGCACGGGGACCAGCCTGGGCTGACCTGGGCTGTGCGTGGAGCATGGTCCGTGTTTCAGCCCCTCTGGCCTGGGCTCCTCTCAGCCATCCCTCAGAAAGAGAAGGGATTGGTGGGGGCAGGGGCCTGTTGCTCAGCAGCCCCTAATGAATCTCTACCTGCCTTCCTCCATTCCAGTGACGCCAGAGAGCGTTCTCAGAGAGTCACAGACGTTTTCAAGTATGGAGACAGCGGCCATGGAGTGGAGGACTCGAAGGCTGACCAGGCTGCCAACGAATGGGGCCGGAGTGGCAAAGACCCCAACCACTTCCGACCCCCTGGCCTGCCTAGCAAGTACTGAGCTTCCCCTTGGCTCTGCCCTGGGGGATGCGTTGTGAGGACCCTGGGGACAGGGACCCCCAGTCACTGAGTTCTCTGTCCCCAGAGTCCGGTAGAGGGCACCTAATAGGTGTCTAATAAATACTTAATGAGACTGACTGTTGGGTGTAAGGACTGCTTGTTTGCTCCGCAGGAGTGAAGGATGGACATCTCCACCCCGAGCAGGCAGAGCCTGGGCCCCTGTGTTTGATGTGGTGGGGAGGAAATCTCAGTGTCACACAGGACAGACGCCCTGCACCCACCCCTCCCCAATCAGACCTGCTCCCCTGTCCAGGCCCCTCTGGTTACACTTGTGCTATTTCAGGTCCTTCGGTGTCCAGGTCCCTCACTGCTGTCCATGGTGTCCTGTCACTTTCTAGTTCCTAGTTTCTCAGTTTCTAGTTCCCTTTGTCTTGCTCCCCAGTGGTCTCTATCCCTGGGGGTAGAGGACTTAGCAATGGGAGGATGGGACGGTGGCATCCTGATCTGGCCACTGTCACCTTGATCTTCTGTTGGTTTCTTGGCATCACCTTCAAATCCATTGAAAACCAGTTTCTGTCCCTGCCTTCTAAGAAATGTGTCCAGAGCCATTTTCTTCTGCCTTATTTCACTGCCTTACTTCAGGCCTCCATGGAGACATGATGCCACCTCCCTGGTGATTCTTTCCTCACCACTTCTGCTCCTTAACCAGTTAAAACTGGGAAAGTGGTAGTGAGGAGGTAGCAGGGTGGAGAAGCCCCCTGTATCAGCTGGGGTCCAGGCAGGAGACAGACATCAGGTAGCCGTCTGAGATGGGAAATAACAGAAGGAGTGATTAACTGGGACATGAGTAAACACTAAGGGGTACAGGATACACAAAGCTGAGCTGTGGATCTTGTTGGAAACTGTAGCCCATGGGATGGCCCATGAAGATTGTTGGGCGTCACAGGCCACCACCCACAAACAAGGATTCCCCCACTGAGGTGCCAGGAGGACACTTGGCAGGAAACTCTGAAGGCAGGCAGTTGAGTTGGGAATGTAGCTGGGCTGCTGCAAGCTCCGGGGGGGGGGGGGGGGGGGCGGCCCACAGAGGGTCAAGGGAGAAGCTGTCCAGAAGCCTGAGGCCAGGGTGCCAGGGGCAGGGCTCTGGGCTGAACTGTGTCCCCACCTCTCATTCATATGCTGAGGTGCCACCTCCCAGCGTGGCCATCTACTGGATTAGGGATGTAACTGAGGTTAAGACAAGTCCTAAGTGTGGAACCTGGTCTGATAGGATCAGTGTCTTTAAATACCCAGTACCAGAGATCTTGCTCCCTCCTCTCTGCCCCGTGAGGACACAGCTAGAAGGTGTCCATCTGCAGGCCAAGAAGACAGCTCCCACCAACTACCAAATTAGTTTGACCTTGATCTTGGACTTTCCAGCTCCAGAAAGAGGTGAAATACATTTCTGTGGTTTAAGTCACTCAGAATGCAGTATACAGTTAGGCTCCCACTTAACACAGGCAGAGCACTGCAGAACACCCTGGCAATCCAATGGAGAATCACAGATACTGTCAGGAAACCTCAGTGGGACACCTAGGAAACTCCCTCTGGTGAGTGGCCTTCAGGGCCCTGCGTCGAAAAGAGCACCACTAAAGCTTGGAGACCAAGCTCCCAGGACCTTGGGGGGCAGGTCTTTCTTCCTGCTTGTCCCTCCAGCGCCCTCTACTGACAGAGTTTAGCACCTCGCTCTGGGGCACAAGGGAAACGTGGGCAGGGTCTGGCTCCAGCATCCGAATCAGGACAAAGAAAGGTGGATATGGAGCTCAAGTATATAAATTGATGACTGCCTGTGCCTCCTCTCTGAAAGAGAAATTGATGAGAACGCCTAAGGGAAGAAGATTAATGATACAATTCTATAGCAGAAAGACAAGCTGCATTTGCGTGTTGAGGACATGCCTATACAATGGTTAGCCACGGGAGCCCTTAGATGGACAGCACGGACAGCAGGGCAGGTGCGGGCTTTGCCCTGCCTGAGACTTGGTCTGAGAGGGGCGAGGCTCTGCCAAAGAAGGTGGGGGCAGGAGAAACAGGGGCAGGGCGCCCTGTGGCCGTCGCTGCTGAGAGCAGGCTCCAGGCACTGGGAGAAATGACCGCCCAGTGTGGTACCGTCTGAACTGACCTAACGTGAACGTATGGGCCGTCATTAGTACTCTTTGGCCCTGCCTTAATCCCTCCTCACAGATCTCCATCTCTTTATGCAGATCTGACTTTCCACCCCGATCATTTCCCTTCCCACACATTATTTTGTGCCAGGCAGGTGTATGCCAACAGAGTCCCTCACCTTGTTTTCTGAGAAAGTCTTTGTTTCTCATTCACATTTTTGTAGGATAACTACACAGGGTCCAGAATTGCTGACGGGGGGTGTTCTCACCAAGCCCTTTAAATATTTCACTCCACCGTCTTGTTTGTAGACACCGAAGGTAAAGTAGATCAAACAGCAGCTGCACCAAAGTCAAAGGGGAGCAAGTGGGAGTGGGATGGAGCCAGTGGGAGGCGGGGGTGAAACTCAGAGGGAGCAGAAGCATCTGCTCTGAAGGAAGAAATTTCAGGAGAGGAGGGACAGCACCTGAGATGGAGGACAGGGACCAGCAAGAATCCAGTTGTACTGACTGTTGTGCCCCGAACCCCGGGACGGCCCACCCTCCGTTGCGTTATCCCTTTACCAGTCTGTCTTTAGGGCAAGTAGGCAGGAAACCCACCGGCAAAAAGCTTGTCTCTCTTACTGTATGTGTCAGCCTCTATCCTCTGTACCTGTCACGCGGCAGGGCACAGCTAATACTTGTTTACTAAATATTTGTTGAAATGGGCAAATGAGGGGCGCCTTGGTGGCTCAGTGGTTAAGGCCTCTGCCTTCGGCTCGGGTCATGATCTCAGGGTCCTGGGATCTAGTCCCGCGTCGGGCTCTCTGCTCAGCAGGGAGCCTGCCTCCTCCTCCTCTCTCTCTCTGCCTGCCTCTCTGCCTACTTGTGATCTGTCTGTCAAATAAATTAAAAAAAAAAGAAAGAAAAGAAATGGGCGAATGAAGTAGAAGTATTGTTCGAAAGCTGACAGACCCGGGGGTGTCTTGGGATTGCACAGAGTACAGATGTGTGGTGCAGGGTTTCATCTGGAGAACATGCTAATGAGGTACTTTGGGCGACTGTCAAAATCTACACCAAAATCTGCAGTGAGATACTGGGAAAATGGACAAAATTTTACCTTGTCATAGAATATACATTTAATTTTCTCTAGGAGTGCCTTGTACTCTCTGTACCCGGCCCTCCTGGCCCAGACACTGCCTTTCCTCTATCCTCAGTGGTCTCTCCAGCAGACCCCAGAGTGCCTGAGGGCCCCTTCTCTTCCTGCCCTGGTCTCTTCTGGGGGCCCAGAGGGAGAGTGGGCCGAGGAGGTGGTGATCTCACAGGGCTGCCCTTTACCTCATCATTGGCCCTGGGGCTCACGAGATCTGGCTGCTTCTTGGATGCTCTCCCAGAATGTGGGGTACGTGGAGCCTCTTGGTCCTCAGGTTTGGGACAGGGAAGAACTTCACCGTACACTCTGCTCTTCAAACTTGGGTCCAAAGGGAGCCCTTTCCCAATTCTCTGATTTCCCGAGTTTGGTTTTTTGAAATCTCTAACTAGGGCTCTAACTAGGGGAAAGACAGCTCAGGTCTTTTCTGAGAAAATCGTGTGTGGTGTGCGCACTTCATGATTTATGGAGTGCCGTCAAGCCATGCTGTTTAAAACATGTTCACAAAGCCTCCCGTCAATGACCCACTTGTGCCTTTGCTGAAAGAGCCTGGGAAAGCGCCAAGAGCTCCAGGCTGGCCAGAGGGCCGTGTTCCTGGAATGACCTGACCTGGGAGGGAGCCGCCCTGCTCAGGGAAATTCCCTTAATCCCCCAAAGGCACCCATTTAGGAAGGTCTGAGTAATCTAACAACCGGCCTTTCAAAACCTCCTCCTATTTGCCCCATCAGGAAAGATGCTTGCAAAACTCATCAATCCATCCATTCATTCACTCGTTGACCGCCTACTGAATGAGCTCCCAGAATGTGGCAGGAACTGAGCCGGGCCCCGGGAACAGAGCAGGACATGGCACAGAAGAGATTGGTGCTCCTGTCCAGGTAGCACTCTCCCGAGAGAGCCCTCATTAAGCTATGCATATTTTCTATAACTGAATTAAATGATAGTATACGTTTACCAGTCAATGTGCTATCCTGCCGCCAAATTCAGGTGGCAGGTGCATGGCAGATGGGGAAGAATCCAGGTGCCCCCTCCCAGCAAACCACACTTGAATTTCAGCTTTGTCACTGCCTTTGGGGTGGAGAAGAGTAGAAACAAGGACAAATGCTCATGAGAAGTTGTTCAGGGAAAAAGTGGAATATCAAATGACAATTATCATATCCCTGTATTTGCTTATGGATTCATATATGTACATACATTTAGACAATAGACCAGAAGCCAGACAGGAAGGTTCTAGGAGTTTCTTCCCGCCCTTCCCCCAATCCAGGCTGATGAAATTAGCGCTGCTTATTCTTTTTCTCCTTATACTTATTTTATATTTGGCACATTTTCTTCAGTAAACATGCCCATTCAAGTAAGGCTCGTTATCTTGAATATATTCTAGGCATTTTCCTAGGTGCTTGTTGTTAAAGGTAAGAAAACCAACAACCCAGTTCCTGCCCTGACTGGGATTCCAGTGTTGAGATGAGGAGAAGCTGCGAATGTCATATAATGTACATGTATGTGCCTTTCTCGCTCATCACACCCCCCAACAACATAATGTGCAAATGCATCCATACATATCAATAGTGATTAATAAAGATTAGAATGAGATACACATTGGTAAATGTGTCAGGGTCCCCCATGAAAGTCTAGAATGGATGATGAGAGGAGAAGGATGATGTCCATATTCCACATTCCATCTGTTAACAATCCTATTCTGATCTCTTCTCTCCCATATGATTCGGTTTTCTCCTAGGCTTGCGAACCAGTATTATTTC